CTAGTTAAAAATAAAAAAAGTACTTGTCATTTCACCATAATCTTTGATAGTTGCTGATGTATTTTAAGATATACCAACTCACTAACTGTAAAAAAAAAATGATTTGAAATTGTTTGCAGCATTTCCTAGAGGCGCACGTTATGCTATAATTGTGGGAGCTGGGGTACCAGCAATGTTATTCTTGATTGGGCTTCTATGTTTCCTAAGTGGAAGGATAAGGTCTTGCAGGAGAAGATCCCAACCAGTCCTAGAATTCAGCTCTGCCGTTGCACCACAACCCATTGTATTTACGGGCTTAGATGGGCCCACAATAGAATCCTATCCCAAAACTATATTGGGAGAGAGCAGACGTTTGCCCAAGCCTGATGATAATGTCTGCTCAATTTGCTTGGCTGAATATCAGCCCAAAGAGACTTTAAGGACCATTCCTGAATGCCTACACTGTTTCCATGCAGACTGCATAGATGAATGGCTTCGATTAAATGCTTCTTGTCCAGTTTGCCGCAATTCTCCTATGTGTGTTCATGGTACTGTATGATATGATTTTGAAAATTTCGGTTGGATAATTCGAAATGGTATATCATTACCGTATTGAATTAGGTGGATTTATATGGTTCAGTTTTGATTTGTGTAGTACTGTAATTATGATTTATTCGATTTCGACTTCCATACCATGGAGAATTATGATTTCGGCAATGATGAGAATGACATCTTTCATGCTTGAAATGAATGGGAGGTGCTCACCTCTGGTTTTTGGCATTTATCTTTGAGAACAAACGGACTCATACTCAATGTTCTTGTGAGAACTAATTAAGCAGAAATGTTCTTGGCTTGTCCTTTTTAATGGCTTTTGGAGTAGAAGCTAATAATGCAATCAGCCTCATTTTACATGCCAAATGGTCATATTGCAACTTACAAGTCTCACTTACTGTTTTGTGAAGCAAATTCTCTATTTTGAGAAATCATCTTTATTAAAAGTTTTATTGAGTACAATGTATAACAAGCAAATTGATACATATATATAGTATATGTATACATTAAGGACATACTAGATAGATAGTATAGTATCAATTAACTTGGAAAAATATACTGTGCATCACATCAGCTCATTTTGAACTTGCACCAGTTTCAAAACTGCTTTGAATCTCACTGTTAAGTTGGCTTCTCTCTGCACTAGTCTTCATGTCTGTCGAATTCATTGAGCCGAATGGATTTGGTGGCATTATGGGAATGCCTTCTCCTACTAGCATTTGAATGACAACTTTCATGGATGGCCTATCCGCTGGAAACCATTGAATGCACCAAAGTCCTACGATTGCTAGTTTCTTGATTATGCTGTTCTCATCTTCATTCTCAATTTGGATTGCTATTTCTTCACCTTTCTCGAGTTGTTTGTACATCCACTCCGGGTAGTAAATCTGACTACTACTGTTCTCCGCCTTTGCAGCATCGTCAAATTTGTTCCTTCCACCAATCATATCAAGCAACAACATGCCAAAACTATAAATATCTGCTCTATATGACACATCTCCGTAGTTCCTGGAGAACACTTCAGGGGCGATATAGCCAATAGTGCCTCGAGCAGCAGTCATTGACACAGCACTTTGCTCTTTGGCACACAACTTTGCCAGCCCAAAATCAGCAACTTTTGGATTGAAATCTTGGTCTAACAAGATATTATGAGGTTTGATATCGAAATGAACAATTCGTTGATTGCAACCTTGATGGAGATACTCGAGCCCCTTGGCAATTCCTACAGATATTTGTAACATCTTTTCCCATCCTAGTGATGATGACCCTCTTCCATTCCCTGATGATATGATCTTTTGAAGTGTGTCGTTTGATAAATATTCGTACACAAGAGCTCTTCTATAACCATCAGCACAATATCCTACTAAACGTACAACGTTCACATGATGAATTCTACCTATGCTGCCTACTTCATTGATGAAGTCTTCCCCTTCACCCTTGAAATTGTTAAGTACCTTAACCGCCACGAGAATTTCATTTGATAACTTCCCTTTGTATACTTTCCCATAGCCTCCCTGACCAAGTTTATACTTGAATTGCTCTGTGATCTTTTTAATATCTGCATAACTGTATCTTGTAGGCCTCAGAGCTTTATAATCCTCCAAAAACCTCTCAATTCTTTTCTGATCCTCTTTCTTCATTTTCAATTTGACAATCTTGTAGACTGCTAGAGAGACTAACACAAAGGCAAATAGGCTACCTAATACAATTGCAACAGTAACTTTCTTTGACAGCCCTGTAAATTAAGATGATAATATTATTAGCTTGTAGTGGTAATGTAGTACTTGTTATTTAGCACTAAAAAATGGAAATGAATACTAACAATCTTGATCTCTTAAGACTATAACTATGTGAACTCATATTAAAATATCCCCTCTGAATATGACATTCTACATGAGCATCAAGCTCCGAAAGCTCCACCAAAGAGTTTCAAGTGACAATACATATGATAAAAGTGAGTGAATAGGTTAACCCCCCCAACCCAAACTATCACCTATTTGCGAGTTTCATACCTAATGAACTCATTGTTCTAGTTGACTCTTTTTCACCCCCCACGCGTTTCTTAGCAAGTTATCCCAAACATTTTGCCACATATTCAGTCGAAAGGTTTTTGATCTAAAAGGAGTTAGAGATTCAGAGGCATATATAGCATTAAAGTTATCCATGACTTTAAAAATATAATGAGTTCAATGTTAATAATCTTAAAATTGAACCTATAGAGTTTAAATCTTGAACCCGCCTCTGGTTATAATCCAGGGAAGTAACAAGAACATCCAATAGTTTAGACATAAAACTCGCAAAATAGCAATAGTTTAGAGGGTTTTGACCTATTCCTACTTCTATGTTAAGGTTCTGATTCTTATTCAAAGTAAATAAAAAATTATTAAGAGACTGAGAAGGGGAAAATCAATTTTAAAGATGTACCTTTGCTCGGTTCTTCTGGAATGTCAACACATTCAGTTTCACTACTTGAACTATTGTATTTCAACTTGCAGTACTTCCCATGCTCTTCACAATTCCCACAAAATGGTACAGACCAACGCAGATAAATTCGTGTATAACTATATTCTTGCTTCCCGAAAAGTACCTCGTCTGGAACATCTGAAATGTTGTACATCGTTGTACAAGATGACGGATACTCAGAAATACTATTGTAAGATCGAAAAGCAAGGACATCATACTGAGGACTGCTAAGGCAATTGATCCGAATAGAAGACGATGAATACGTTTGCTTTGAGGAACAATTGAATAAAGTGAATCCACCATACGCGTTCGGATTAAAAGTGAAAATGGAAGCAGAGGAGTTTATGTTCGCAATGTGTCTGGGAAGACACGAAGCATTGAGGTCTGATAATGTTATTGTCTGTGACTTGTAATTAATTTCCTGAACAGAAACGTTAGCTGATATTGAAATGTCGACTTTGTTGATAGTTGCTTGTATTGGAAATTGGAGGTTGAATTGAGTAACATTTTTTGAAGTACAAGATAGTTCGAAACCAGGGTATCCGCAATGACTTGGCTGATGATTTTGGAGTCGAAAAGGGAATCGAATCACCGGACCGAAATCGCCACATGTTGTTGGTAGACATTGATCATGGGGTGTTAGTAGTTGTCCTAGAGTTACAGTTGAGAAAATTAGATGAAGAAACAAGTGGATCAGTGTATGAGACATTTCTCTAACAATGGTTGCCAATTAGGAAAGTCATAAAAGAATGGTTCCTTTGGGAAAAAAACTAGTTGTGTGCTTAAAGGTCAACACGCTAAAACATATTATAATAAGTTGCTGAGCTGTTTGAATTGAAGAGAAAAAAAATGACAAAATTTGTCCCTTATGTTTGAGGATCGATTCAAAATAGACTTTTAAGTATGGATAATATAGTTTTGGCCCTTCAAATTTGCAAAAAGTTAGTAGTAGTATTTTAGTCTTCATCAAGTATTTAATGGTTTATGTTTGTTAGATTTGATGTGAAAAAGAATTTAATAATAAATATCAACAAAATCACGTCAAATCCTAAAATATGTAATACAAAATGGTGCATCCATCCGTTTAAAAAAAAATGGTCTGGTTTGACTTGACACGGAGTTTAAGAAAGTAAAGAAGACTTTTGAATCTCGTGGTCCTAAATTAAAGTTATGTCAAATATACAAAATTGTCATTTAATCTTGTGGCCTTAAACATGCTACATGGAAAACTGAAATTAAAATGTTACCAAAAAAAGAATGAGGCCATTTTTTTTTAAACAAACTAAAAGGAAATGAGGTCATTGTTTTTAAAACGGAGGGAGTAAAAAGTTGGAGAAATTACACCTCAAAAAGTTACACCAAACTCTAAAAATAACAAATATTACAAAAAAAATTTGAAGGAGACTAAAAGCTTACCTCATTGACTCGATTTATATGACATACTTTCATTTTCAATCAATGCCAAAAACTTTGATACATTTCTATATCTAGTAATAATTTAATTTTAAAGTGTTGATTTTTACTACCACACAAACTTCTTGTGGCTTATTTAAGACCATAAATTTTAAAAGTCAGTCTTTCTTTCTTAAACTTCGTATCTAATCAAATTATATCATCTAAATTAAAACAAAAAAAGTAACTCGTTAACAAACTTAAAAGACCTAAATTGCTTAGTGCGCACTTAAAAGAACTATTATAAAACCTTCTGATTTAAAGGACCATTTTAGTCATTCTCTCTTGAATCTTTCAATAAATATTTTTGACTTTCAATAAATGGCAACTAAAATATCATTTCCCCCACCCAATTTATCTTGAAAATGTCATAATCCCACTCTGTCATGCTACTGAAAGCAACGTGTGTGAATAAGACTGGGCAAAACATTTGTTAACATATTCAACTTCATTTTAACAAATCAATAGTCCTAACTTTTAATTGCACACGCTGCAAGAAAAGTCATTTTTATTCCTTATATAAACCACACATCAAGAAAAAAAGAATTATCATTAGTGTCTTTCTATTTTCCTCGGTATATTCAATTGACAAAATGTCCATAACAAATTCATTTTTTGCTACTGTTTTTCTATTTGTTACATTCATAACAAGCTCTATAGCCCAGAATACCTCTCAATGTGTCCCTTCTTCCTGTGGCGATATTCGCGATATAAAATTCCCCTTCGGATTGAGGTCTGATCCCGAGTATTGTGGTAAGACCGGATATGAACTCGATTGCCAGAACAATGAAACCATTTTCCATTACAAGTCGCGAAAATTCTACGTCCAGGAAATTAACTATACGAACTTCTCAATTAGGCTACTCGATCCCAGCCTTAAAAATCAGAGCGATAATTGCTCTGTTTTTCCAGAACACAGGGCAAGTTACGATGCCATGACTAGCCTAATCTTCGGATGGCTTAGTGTTGACAACGATATCAACTATGTCAACTGTCGTGGTCCAATCAACTCGTCACTATACATTCCTACAAGTTTTTGTAGCACAAATACAACTGCTACCAATTCTAGTTTTAGCTATCTTGTCGTAGGTGAAATATTGCAAGATTCAGATTTAGCAGGCGGTTGCAGAGTTGAAACTGTGGCATGGTCATCAGCTCCGGGGATTTCACCTAACATATCGTCTTCGTTATCCAGCATTCATCAGGCCCTGGGTTACGGATTTGAGCTCTCTTGGAGGCGTGATTTCTTATGCAGAGAGTGTGGGAGAGATGACGAATGTGTTTTCGAAGACAATAGTGATGTAGCTACTTGTATTCATTATTGTAAAGAGGACACTCCCGTTTCTGAACTTTCTTTCGGATGCAAAGTCAAGTACTATTCTGGTAAGAGTTTAACTTATATACATCGACATTATAAGTTATACTCATGTCATAAAAATTTTCTAACTTGTTTTTATGTTCTTCTTTGGCAGTTTTTGTATTGGTGTATGGCGGTATAGCAATTGGTGCACTCATGCTTAAAAAGTAACTCGTTAACAAACTTAAAAGACCTAAATTGCTTAGTGCGCACTTAAAAGAACTATTATAAAACCTTCTGATTTAAAGGACCATTTTAGTCATTCTCTCTTGAATCTTTCAATAAATATTTTTGACTTTCAATAAATGGCAACTAAAATATCATTTCCCCCACCCAATTTATCTTGAAAATGTCATAATCCCACTCTGTCATGCTACTGAAAGCAACGTGTGTGAATAAGACTGGGCAAAACATTTGTTAACATATTCAACTTCATTTTAACAAATCAATAGTCCTAACTTTTAATTGCACACGCTGCAAGAAAAGTCATTTTTATTCCTTATATAAACCACACATCAAGAAAAAAAGAATTATCATTAGTGTCTTTCTATTTTCCTCGGTATATTCAATTGACAAAATGTCCATAACAAATTCATTTTTTGCTACTGTTTTTCTATTTGTTACATTCATAACAAGCTCTATAGCCCAGAATACCTCTCAATGTGTCCCTTCTTCCTGTGGCGATATTCGCGATATAAAATTCCCCTTCGGATTGAGGTCTGATCCCGAGTATTGTGGTAAGACCGGATATGAACTCGATTGCCAGAACAATGAAACCATTTTCCATTACAAGTCGCGAAAATTCTACGTCCAGGAAATTAACTATACGAACTTCTCAATTAGGCTACTCGATCCCAGCCTTAAAAATCAGAGCGATAATTGCTCTGTTTTTCCAGAACACAGGGCAAGTTACGATGCCATGACTAGCCTAATCTTCGGATGGCTTAGTGTTGACAACGATATCAACTATGTCAACTGTCGTGGTCCAATCAACTCGTCACTATACATTCCTACAAGTTTTTGTAGCACAAATACAACTGCTACCAATTCTAGTTTTAGCTATCTTGTCGTAGGTGAAATATTGCAAGATTCAGATTTAGCAGGCGGTTGCAGAGTTGAAACTGTGGCATGGTCATCAGCTCCGGGGATTTCACCTAACATATCGTCTTCGTTATCCAGCATTCATCAGGCCCTGGGTTACGGATTTGAGCTCTCTTGGAGGCGTGATTTCTTATGCAGAGAGTGTGGGAGAGATGACGAATGTGTTTTCGAAGACAATAGTGATGTAGCTACTTGTATTCATTATTGTAAAGAGGACACTCCCGTTTCTGAACTTTCTTTCGGATGCAAAGTCAAGTACTATTCTGGTAAGAGTTTAACTTATATACATCGACATTATAAGTTATACTCATGTCATAAAAATTTTCTAACTTGTTTTTATGTTCTTCTTTGGCAGTTTTTGTATTGGTGTATGGCGGTATAGCAATTGGTGCACTCATGCTTGTGGGAATCGCAATCTTGATTGCAGTTGTGGTGTGGCAGTGCAAAAGACGGAATTTGAACACATCGAACGATGATGTGTTGGGGAATAAAGCTTCTTCCAGTGAACAGAATTGTTAGAATTCTTTGATTTTTAGCTTTATCGTTATAGTACTCCATTTGTTAGTATCCATATGTACAATCCAAGCTATTGTGTATTTTGTTCAGAACTCTAGGACAAGGTCAATCTAATCCAGTTTAGTCCTGTATAGTATCTAGAGATTCCATTATTGTCTATTTGATTCATTGATTGTATATGTTATTTTTTTAAAAATCTTTTGATTAACCTAATTCTTGTAAGTGAATGAATGGATATTTGTGCATTCTGTCGATTATTGGACAAGAAATTATTTCGTTTTTGGATCAAAAGCAATAGTTCTCTGTTGTACGTTCAAGTATACCTTAATCGCGAACAACAAAATCCTGTAAATTTTATGCACAAGAAATAAATTCAAGAGCTTGGTTTAAAGTCAACAACCCAGTTGTCAAAGTGTATTGTGTTTGCGCCATACTATAGAGTAGCAGGGCAGTGTGATAGCAGATTTAGTTAGCCATGTGTATTTTTGAAGTTTATATATGCTAGATTTAGTTGTTATAGTATGGGGCAATAGAGTTATTGCTCGTTTGTCTTGTAATAGAGTTATTACAAGGGGATAGAAATTAAGAATTTAATTCATGGGTTGCAAGAGCTAGTAATTTGATACCTGGGTTGTGTTGTTAGTGAAGTTGTTGGTGGAACCCTTCAAGGTAGGTCGTGGTTTTTTTTCTTTCTTGAGAAAGAGGGTTTCCACGTAAACTTCTTGTGTGCTGTACTTTCTGTTGTGTAGTTTCTTCTTCCTTGTTCTTAGTTAGTTTTTCGTAAAGGGCCTGATCACTTGCCTCGGGGTGGACTCACATACGGACTAAAAATTATAAGATGAATAAACACAAAAGTGCATGGAACTAAGGGGTCGTTTGGTAGAGTGTATTAGAAAATATAATGCACGCATTAGATATGTGTATTAGTAGTACCTCGTTTGGTAGACTTTTTTATGCCATGTATAACTAATGCAATCATTAGTTATACACTCTATTGTGTATTAAGTTGTGTATTACTAATACCAAGTACTTCTAGATATTAGTAATACATAGCATTTTAACACTTGCATTAGATTATATAATTACAAAACTACCCTCAAAGTCCTTTTAAAACATTTCCTAGCATTTTTTCACAACTTTAGAATCTTTTCATTTTCTTTCTTGTCATATGTTTTTATTTTTATATTTATTTGTTTTTCAGTGTTTTTAAATTTGTTGGTGTCTTAATGGGTTTTTTTTTTTTGGGAGGATTTGATTTCATTTTATTGAATAAAAGGGCCTGCCCCACTATTCATCCAAAAAAAAACAAAATTACTGTGTTTGTAAGGTTCCAAGTTAACAAACGGATTTTCCTCCGTTTTCCTGCCTCTATAAAACGTAAGATACCACAAGAACTGATGCAATCGATATGCCAGCTATTGCTCCACCTGAGATTCCTTTTGAGCTTGTAGAAGTTCTTAATGGTGGATAAGTTCCATTTTAATAGGATCTTTTAAGTATCTTTTTTTAAAATCTAATTTCAATACAATTTATTCAATTTTTTTACTATTGTAGCGATAAACTTTATAAAAAATATTTTTGCCAACTTTTCACAAAAATATTTTGACGCAATAGTACAATTATTTAATATTTTTTGAAAAAAAAGAAGAAGAGTTAATAATGTTTTAGCAAAGATTTTTTTTTTATGTTTTAGCAAAGAACTTTGTACAAAGGAAGTGTAAAAATAAATAAAGTGTGAAGGGTATTTTTGTAAACATATATTTTAAAATAGAAATTATGCAAGATTTGTTATTTCTAATACATCAAATCAAACAGTGTATAAGAAATAATGATTGCATAACTAATACAAGCATTACTAATGCAAGCACGACTGATGCAAGCATTACTAATGCACCCTATTTTGCATTGTTCTTATACATTTTATCAAACGACCCCAATATTTTATGTCCAATTTTGTAAAGAAGAAATTGTGTACATTAAAAATTGTAAATCAACATGAAAATAGATAATGCATGGCATAAAAAGGACAGTTTGATTATTGTTCAAAGTTGAGTGGAAGGGGTGGGAGTGATTTTTATCATTTTCTGTTGAATCTTTTAATATCTTTTGACTTTCAAACATGGCAACTGAAATATCATTTCCCCCAATTTATATATGAAAATGTAATAATCCCACTTTATTGTGTTACTGAAAGCAACGTGTGTGGCCAAATGAATAATCCTAACATTCAATTGGACACACGCTGCAAGAAAAAGTCAAATTTATTTATCAAACAACTAAGAAAACTGCATCATTATATAAACCACATATATGAAGATAAAAGAATATCATTATCCCTAATATCTTTCTATATTCCTCTGTATATTCAATTGACAAAATGTCCATAACATATTCATTTTTTGCTGGTGTTTTTCTCCTTGTTTCATTCATAACAAGCTCTATAGCCCAGACTAGTATGTCTCAATGTGTCCCTTCTTCCTGTGGCGAAATTCGCGATATAAAATTCCCCTTCCGATTGAGGACTGACCCTGAGCATTGTGGCAAACATGAATACGAACTCGATTGCCAGAACAATCAAACCTTCTACACTTACAAGTCCAGAAAATTCTACGTGCAGGAAATTAACTACACAAGCTACATGATTAGGCTACTCGATCCTGGCCTAAAAGATCAGAACGAAAATTGCTCTGTTTTCCCTGATTACAGAGCAAACTACGGAGGCATAACTAGCGAAATCTTCCAATTGATTCATATTAACAATAGCATTAACTATGTCAACTGTCGAACTCCTATCAACTCATCACAATACATTCCAACGACTTTTTGTAGAACAAATACAACTTCGCCCAACGCCAATTTTAGTTATCTTGTCTTAAAAGAAATATGGCAAGCTTCGGATTTGGAAAACGGTTGCAAGGTTGAAACTGTGGCATGGTCCTCAGCTCCAGGTATTTTTACAAACAAGTCGCCTTCGTTAGCAAGTACTCATCAAGCCCTGGCTTATGGCTTTGAGGTTTCATGGAAGTACGGTTTGCTATGCAGAGAGTGTGAAGCGAGTGATGGATCTTGCTATCTTGAAGACAACAGCGATGTTGTAACTTGTATTCATTATTGCAAAGAGGACATTCCCGTTTCTGAACGTTCTTTCGGTTGCAAAATCGAGTACTATTCTGGTAAGAGTTTAACTTATATACATGGACAATTTTTTTTCTTACACAATCATGTCATAAAATTTCACTAACTTGTTTTTATTTTCTCTTCTTCCTTTACAATTTCGCAGTTTTTGTATTGGCCTACGGCGCTATAGCAATAGGTAAGATCATCTGAGATATTATCTCATTGTTATCGTCTTAAGAAAATTGGAGATTTTTCTTACGATATTTATTATTTTTTGAAATTCTGCAGATGCACTTATTGTGCTAAGATACATAGTGGGAATCGCAATCTTGATTGCAGTTGTGGTGTGGCAGTGCAAAAGGCGGAATTTGAACACATCCAACGATGATATTTTGGGGAATAAAGCTTCTTCTAGTGAACAGAATTGTTAGGATTCTTTGATTTTACGCTCTATCGTCATAGTATTTGTTAGTATTCACGTACAATCCAAGCCATTATAACAGACGCTTTTGTGTATTTTGTTTATAACTCTAGGACAAGGTCAATCTATTTACTGCTAGAATTTTTGTTTCCAGTTTAGTCCTGTATTGTATTTCTTCCTTTATTATTTATTTGATTGTATATGTTGTTTTCTTAAATCTTTTGATTTGCCTAATTCTTGTAAGTGAATGAATGGATTTTTGTGCATTCTGTCAATTATTGGACATGAAATTCTTTCGTTTCCTCTGCTGTCCGATCAAGTATACGCTAGTTAGGAACAACGAAATCATGTACTCACTTTCTCTCAATTTATATGGCACTATCCGAATTTTGAGAGTTTTTACCGTGAATTCGTACATGTGGGATTTTCCAACAACTAAGTTACTAAAACTCATGTTCACTCTAAAAAACAGAAGTATGTAGTATTGTTCTTTGTCTTAATACATAAACGTGACTTTTAACTTGACCTCAATTGACATCTGTGTCCTTTAGTTTTGGTTGTGCACAAGTAGACATTTAAACTTGTATAAAATTGCACAAGTAGACACACACGTTCTACATGACATCCTATGTGTATTATGTCACGTAGGACACGTATATTTATTTGTTCAATTTTATACAAGTTTAAATGTCTACTTGTGCACATTCAAAGTTGGAGGACATATATTTCAGTTGAAACCAAGTTCTTTTTATCTCTATCCTTGTCCAAGAAATGAGATTTGTCTCAAGGATAACTTGTTGTCGTTTCTACAAATACTCGCCTTCCTCGAAGAAGATACAGTCAATTTACAGTATACAAGTGGCTTAGTTTTATCCCGGGGTGTTCCTGGTTCAATTTGAGTTGGTTTAGACCTAGCGGGGATATTTCTTTTAAGTACTAATAATAGAAAATGACAGTGCGTATGTGTTGACTTGAAGAGCAAAAAAAAAAGGACACTCAAACATTTGGCTTGTTAACCGCAGTTCTGTTGTCTCATTCAGCTATAGATTCAAGAAAACATTACTTGGTGTTCTTCTTCTTGCAGTGATATATATTCATGACATCAATTTTCTTTACGATTGAAAGCTTATCCCAGAAATGGTGGAGATTCAAATGTTCCAGCTCGATTGCCAAAACAATCATACTGTCATAAATTTGGATTCTAGAAAAATACAACAACTATGATAACTTGTTGCTCAGGCCAATGGTTGCTGAGTTAAGAATCATTCTAGTAAGAGTCAACACGCTAAAACATTCTCTATTATACTCTCAGTTATTGAATCTTCCAATAATGGCAACTGAAATTTGACTATTTATCTTGAAAATGTCATAATCCTATCATATAAGTATTAAAATAGACTGAAGTGGACAAGACGAATTCCACTTTATTTTAACAAATGAATAATCCTAACATTTAACTGGACGCGCTGGAGAGAAAGGTCATATCTTTTTATTAAAAAAACAAGATAACTTGATCACTATTTTAAACCACATCAACAAAAAAGATCCATTCTATTGACAACATGTCGATAAGAAATTCGTCTTTTGCTAGTGTTTTTCTATTTGTTACATTCAGAAACAATCTCTCTAGCCTAGAGTGCTACTACTTCTCAATGAATCCCTTCTTCCTGTGGTGATATACTAGAAATAGAATTTCCTTTCCGATTGAAGTCTGATCCCGAGCATTGTGGCAACGAACTTAATTGCCAGAACAATCAAACCTTGTATACTTACAAGTCCAGAAAATTCTACGTGCAGGAAATTAACTACTCAAGCTACATGATAAGGCTACTTGATCCTGGCCTAAAAGATCAGAACGAAAATTGCTCTGTTTTCCCTGATTACAGAGCAAACTACGGAGGCATACAAATCTTCCAATTGATTCATAATAACAATAGCATCAACTATGTCAACTGTCGAACTCCTATCAACTCGTCACAATACATTCCAACAACTTTTTGTAGAACAAATACAACGGCGTCCAACGGCAATTTTAGCTATCTTGTATTGCAAGAAATATGGCAAGCTTCGGATTTAGCAAACGGTTGTAAGGTTGAAACTGTGGCATGGTCCTCTGCTCCGGGTATTTTTACACAATCATGCTATAACTCAAAAGGTGAAATTTTACTAACTTGTTTTTATTTTTTGTTCATTTCTTTGTAACTTTGGCAGTTTTTGTATTGGTCTATGGTGGTATTGGAATAGGTAAGGCTCTATAATTAAGCTCCAATATATTGTTGTCTCAAGAAATTAAAGTGCATATTTTTCTTACTACATGTAATTTTTTTGTTGTTTGAATTCTGCAGGTGCAATTATGGTGTTGAGATTTCTTGTGGGAATCCCAATTTTGATTGCAGTTGTAGTGTGGCAGTGCAAAAGCCGGAATTTGAACATATCGAATGATAATGCCTTGGGGGATAAAGCTTCTTCCAGTGAACAGAATTGTTAGTGAAAAATTACAATATAATGAAATTGCAAGATTACAATTGAAAATAAATGAACAAAATAAATTTCTTCAGGCTGAAGCGTGAATATCTTGCTCTCTTTAAAGAGATCCAAGCTCACTGCAACAAATGTTTTTCACCGATCCAACAGTAGTCCTTCTTGACTTGTCCCCTCCAGGATACAACAACCTTAACACAAAGTATAACTCAACAACTCTGGACAAGAGTTGAGTCTAAAACTCTACAAAAAAAACACCTCCCTTCAACTAATAAGAATTCTCTTTTTGACAAACTTTATGCACTCTCTATTTTCTTCTATCTAAACCAAATGAAGACCACCACTATTTATACTACAAGAAGTCTTTCTAGCAATGAATAGGAAGATAATGGGGTAATAAATAGTGAAGATAATGGCATTAGAAATTACATAAGTTACAAAGAATAATTCGGAATAAAGAGTGAGGAAGTAATGGTCATAGTTGACCACTACACACGTTCTGCCAGAAAGCCACAACGGACAACAAAAATGGCCAACGTTCACATCAAACTTAATCAACAATGAAGTGTGACAATTAAGCCAAATTCAACGGCTAAAAGAGTAATGCACCATGCTGAGTAATTAAGGTATAATGGTTTAATTTCTGACAGGTATGAAGCCATGGAATTGGAGAGAGCACTTCAACATAATTTTAAAATATTAAAATGCTCCTAAAACCAACAATCCCCCGTTCATTTTAATATTAACCAAGAGAGTTTATCAGCTGAAGGAAGATTACTATGCATAATGAAGGTGTGCTCTGCATTGAACCTCTACTTAGTGAAACAATAACTTTTACTCTAGAGTCATAGTGGTCTCAGACTTGAACTATGACTGCTTAGGGGAAATAAAATATCATTGTCCACACATAATAATCAAGGTGTTGACAAGAGCTTTAACAATCAGCACGTTACGGCCTTGTGTTGTCCCGGTTTCATGAGTGCTTTTGAGAATAAGCCAATTCTCATAGAAAGCGACCTACTTCCACACTCACATATGTGAAATTTGTCGAGAGTGCTCCTGTAAGTTTAACACTCCACTCATACGGGCTACAGATATTCATTAAGAGTTTTATAAACTCAACCTTCACAAAGAACTACAAGAAACAATGCACCCACATCATAGGGAGGGAATAAAAAAAATAGTGCATTTTTTCACAACAAGTCATCATATGATTAGTTTTTCCCTTTGAACCGGGTTATAGGGTCTCTAGTTCCCAGGTTGGATTTCCTCATATATGACTCAAGGATTTATAAGCTTCAATCCCATCCCCCTCGATGTGCTCCAGACCTTTTTTCTTGTTAAGACCTTAGTAAGAGGATCTGCAAGATTATCACAAAATTTGACATAATCAACATTAATGGTACCACTTGTCAAATACGATCTTACATTACTGTGTTTCCTCCTTCCTCCTTATAGGTCTGGATTTACCGCTGTAATAACGGTTTTGAACTCTACCAATCGCAGCGGTGCTATCACAATGAATTAAATAGGAGGAATTGGTTTTTACAAATAAGGTATTTGAAATAATAAATCTCTTAACCAATTCGCTTCCTCACTAGCTGAAGCTAAAGCAATTAGTTCAACCTCCATGGTAGAGTTAGCAATTATAGTTTGCTTTTTTAATCTCCAACAAATAGCACCACCACCTAAAGTAAAGACATAACCAGTGGTAGAACAGGAATCACCTGATAATGTGTTTCAATCTGCATCACAAAAGCCTTCAAGTACATCAGGATATTTTTTATAGAACAAACCACAATTTTTTGTTCCAATTAAATATCTCATGACTCTTGTTATAGCATGTCAATGTTCATTACCTGGCTTGCTTGTAAACCTGCCAAGTACTCCTACTGCATATGTAATATCAGGCCTAGTGCAATCAGTTACATATCTCAAACTTTCGATTATGCTAGCATATTCCTTTTGATTTATTACATCATTTTCACTTTCAACAGGAAATAAGTGAACACTTGAATCAAAAGGAGTTACAACATGCTTGCAATCATGAAAGTTATATTTTTTCAAAATTTTCTCAACATAATGTGACTGGTCAAGGAAAATTCCCTCACATGTTCTTGTTATTTTATTTCAAGAATAAAATTTGTCTCACCAAGATCTTTCATATCAAAATGGCTTTTAAGAATATTTTTAGCTTCATCAATAACATTCATGTTAGAGTCAAAGATCAACAAATCATCAACATATAGGCAAATAGTCACATGTGAATTATTCCATGACTTGTGATATATGTACTTATCACACTCATTTGTTTTAAAACCATTTTCAATCATGCAGGAATCAAATTTTTCATGCCATTGCTTTGGTACCTGTTTCAAGCCATATAGAGATTTAATAAATTTACACACTTTGTTTTCTTGTTCTGCTTCAACAAAAGACTCAGATTTATCCATATAAATTTCCTCATTTAGGTCTCCATTTAGAAAAGCAATTTTTACAATGAATTTGTAAATAAAAAATTGTAGCCATAGCAATTAAAAGTCTAATGGATGTAATTCTTGTTACCGGTAAAAAAGTATAAAAAAATTCTAGGCCTTCTAGTTGTTTAAAACCTTTTGTAACTAGTCTAGCCTTATATTTATCAATAGATTCATTCGGTTTCAACTTTTTTCGTAAGACCCATTTGCAACCAATAGTTTTACAACCCGGTGGTAAATCAACTAACTTTCAAATTTTATTAGAAATCAGTGATTCCATTTCATCATTTACAGCCTCTTTCCAAAAAATAGAATCATGTGAAGATAATGATTCATTCAAAGTGAGAGAGTCATCTCCAACATTAAACACACAAAAATCAGGACCAAAATCTTTTTCTACTCTAGCTCTTTTACTTCTTCTTAACTCAAAATCATTAACTTCTTATTTTTCAAAGTAGAAGTAGAAGAACTAGGTAGTGACAAAATATTTTGTTCATTCCTTTGACCCCCACTATTTTTAGAATCAAAAGGAAATTTATTCTCATTAAAAATAGCATCACCCGATTCTATCACAATATTATCTTCAAGATTAAAAAATCTATAGGATGTACTATTTGAAGCATAACCAAGAAAAACACAAGTAGTAACTTTCTTACCCAACTTTGTAATCTTGGGATCCATTAGCCTCACAAAGGCTAGACAACCCCAAATTCTTAGATATCCCAAACTTGGCTTGTAACCTTTCCACAATTCAAAAGGTGTCAATTTTGACTTTTTATGAGGCACACGATTCAACACATAACAAGTAGTCAAAATAGTTTCACCCCAAAAATTTAAAGGTGCATGTGACTCAATAAGCATGACATTAGTCAATTCAACCAAAGTTCTATTTTTCCTTTCCGCTACACCATTAGATGAAACGAGAATAAGGAGGAGTAGTTTCATGAATTATTCCCAATGATCTAACAAATGAATTAAACTCATTTGATTCATATTCACGGCCTCTATCACTTCTAATTCTTTTATTTTTCCTCCAAACTGATTTTCCAACCTCATGGAGATAAGTTTTAAAATTTTCAAAAGCATCACTTTTATTTTTCATCAAGTAAACATATGTAAACTTAGAAAAATCATCAATGAAAGTGATAAAGTACCTATTACCTCCACGAGTTAAAATTCCACCAAGTTCACAAATATCAGTATGAACTAATTCTAACAAATCAGTTTTTCTTCAACTTGGAAATAAGGCCTTTTAGCGATTTTGGCTTTACTACAAGCCTCAACACTTTTCAAAATTCTTTTTAACCATTGGATTAATCCTAAAACTATTCATGATTCCAACATAACGATCATTAATATGAACACAAACGAGCATGCCAAAAAATTGGTAAGAAGAAAACATATAAACAGAAGTAGAAACTTTATTCATTTCAACATTCAGTTTAAACATCTCATCACAAGCATCCCCCTTCCCCACAAAAATACCCTTCTTCACAATTACATATTGATCAAATTCAAAAATTTGTTTAAAACCTGCTTTATTAAGAAGAAAACTAGACATCAATTTTTTTCTCATGGAAAGAGTATAAAGTACATCTTTCAAAGTTAACACCCTTCCAGAGGTAAAACACAATTTGACATTTCCCATTCCAAGCAGTTGAGTAGTATGTGAATCACGATGTTTTTGGGCTCCTCAAAATGAGTATATTTTTTAAACCAGTCTTTATCATAACAGACATGATGGTTTGCACCAGAATCAGCCCACCATCCATCAACACTCTCAACCATGTTTATGTCGGTAATCACCGCCACAAAAGGTTCTTCGGTAACATTTGCCTGAGGGTTAAGACCACGTTTTCGAAATCTGCAAAATCGAGCAATATGCCCACTCTTGTCATAAACAAAGCATGGCCCCTTATCTTGAACTTGTTGATTTTGTGCTTGGTTAATTTCACCATTATTTTTCTTGGGAGGTCTACTATTATTTTTCTTAATTTTTTTCTTCTTAAGCTTCAAAGAAGTATTTTTGTGAGTTTCAAGAGTAGCATTATTTGAAGTAATTAAATTTACCTTCGTTGTGATGTTGCTCTCTTCTTTTTGTAAAAGTGCATCTTGGCCCTTTGCCTCTTCACCATCGTACTTTTCCACTTTCTCATGATGAGAAATAAGTTCATCATCATCCATGGAAGTGTCATCAACTTTATTAGAATTCTTCTCAGTTAACACATAAGAAACATTAAGAAGACTGAAGTAGAAAAGTATTTTACCCTTCCATCTTTTGAAATGGTTACCATTGAACCGAAATGACTTGTTAAGGTCTCCCATCTTGACATCCGCGGTTTTTTTAATTGTAGTCATTCTTGAGTCTCCTTAAAATTGTTAGTGAAAAATTACAATATAATAAAATTGCAAGATTACAATTGAAAATAAAATGAACAAAATAAATCTCTTCAGGTTGAGGCGCGGATATCTTGCTCTCTTTAAGGAGATTCAAGCTCATTGCAGCAAATGTTTTTTACCGGTCCAACAG